CCCCCCCCCTGTATCCGCCCTTGCTCCACTTCACTTAAAGCCATTTCTTAACTACTTTGAGAAGGAAGAGGACCGAGAAATGTACGATTGGACCCATCAATAATTAATACCGACTATTTCTTTCAAATTTCTGTAGAACTTAGAAGAAATGTCCAGTTAGAGACTGTTCCAAAAATAATAGTACCTACTATTGCTCTTCCGCGCACTATTCCACAGCACACTTTTTTCCAAAAGGTCTCAGCTGAATTTTAGACGAATTTAGACATTACTTCTGCGACTCAATGTATGAATTATATGGTATCTTCAAGCTTAAGTTTGCATAAACGGAAGAGTTGGGGGTTCTAGAAGGCTTTTGAGGAAGCTTAATGGTTGTTTTGGAACTTGAACCAATTTGAGGACTGCGGATGAAAATGGTAAATAAAGCAATTCGACGCAAAACTCTTAAGAATCCCTCTCAGCTGAAAAAAGAAAGCAAAAAGACAAAGTCGTACGGTACGGCTCGCGCTCGTGGTCTTCTCGGACCGTGGTCGGGTCTTTGGAGGCTTTAAGGGTCAGGGTCAGCTAAGGTCATTTCCCACGATCACCGCACTCGGCATGGCAACCTAACTCTTCGGAATTATAATACGTGTGTTTTACAAGTTCCGCACATGGGATATATAACGCCCATTATTTTAATTCCACCTGATGCATGCGAAATCGGATTTTTTACTTGTCTCTGATCTTTAACGCTCTTATGGTAATGAACTAGCAATTTCATAGTTTTTTACTCAATTCAATTTAACTTCAACGTCCGTTGCAGAAGTGCCTTGCGATATATCCTGGATGTTAGTTTTGTAGTGCAGTTTTTCAGCCTTTTGTTGTAACAACAAATTTCTACACTCAGATATTTTTTCAAGAAAAACCCTCTTATGTGAGAGATGGACTTTTGCTGCCATTCCTTGAAGCTGGTAAGTTTTCCGAGTTTTTAAGTCGTCGTTGAAAATAATGTCTTCCTGAAGACGGTCTTTCTTCAGAGGTGGCTTGCTCAAACGCAAGGCAAGGAAGAAATTAATTTCCACGACGACCTAAAACCACGAAAAACTTCTCAGTTTCACATCAACGTGAGTTAAAATCAATAATCCTCAAGCAGAGAAAGTAAATTAATAAAATTATAAAATGAACAGCTTCATATGCATTGTGCTCGCGCCTCCACAGTTATTCCATTAATTTATTATAGTCCTAAATGTTTTACGCATACCTGCGTGTGAGAATTACTATTAGATAATCAGCCATAATGTTCAAAATGAATTTCTGATGATTTTAAATTGCCATATCATTAACTACTTATATCCCGCTGTTATTGATACACAGTGAAAACACCATAAAGATATACACGGAGAAAACCGAATCATCCATCAAGAATCGCTCTTATTTGGGCCACCTTTATTCATTTCACGTTTCCATAACGTCTATCACAATAGTTATTACCATTACATTATTAACTGGGAATTTTTAGTTAGGTATCTACTCCTGGGTTAAACTTCGAAAAAAGAACTTTGCTGTCTTTTAGCACGAAAAAACAGTTTAAATATTTGCAATAACTAATCAAGCCGTCGTTTTTAATGGGGGAATTGACTGAGAACAAGCTGAAGAATTTTGTTGACTATCCACTACACTTGATGGAATCGCAAAGCATTTTCACCCTAAGTCCCTGCAACTGGTTCTAAGGGGTGGAAATAAACGGTTTTATAACAAAGAGCAAAGACATGAAGTACTATTGGGCTCAACAGACAGTTTTCCAATGGCACATAGAGGTAGTTCTAATAACGAACAATCCAATTAGAAACTAAATAAAAAAATATTTACCTTCTCTTCTCATGCCCATTTTTATACATTTTCGCAGCCTGCAATATTGGCACTGGTTCCTATGGTGTTGGTCGATTGGACAGTTCCGACTTCCGCGACACGAATACGTCAAATTCCGTCGAACACTACGTTTGAAAAACGATTTACAACCTGAAACAAATACGGATTTATTATCGATTGTATTAGAACACTTCAGAAACAGTTCAGTTTAAAAAATGGACCATGGATGTTGAACGAATTGCTGAATCATATGGGCAAGGGGGGTTTGATTTCTTTTCGGCCAGAAGCAGCTAATGGCTTTACTGAAAAATTGATATTTTTAGGAAGTTCAATACAATGCACTTTTATGGTATACAATTAGCATAAAACATTCAGCACGTGAAATAGTTCAGCATCGGCTTTTCAGAGGTAAACCTCCCATCCATTAAGATAAAATAAAATCAGCTCATATACAACCGGTTATAATTGTCACTAGGAAGATAGATTACACATTGTCGGATCACGCAAAAAATTGATACACAACCGCTATTGTTCCTGGTTAATAATTCAACGAAGAACACCTGCCTCGATTTTCTTTAATCGGTAAAATATTAACAATAACTTTGAACAGTTGGTCGCTATTAATTTTTCGGTCCTTTTGTCTAGTTGCGTGTAAAAATTTCAAAAAAACAACGGTACCGGACGCATTGACAATACATGTGAATCATTTCCAGATTTATATAATTGTCTGCAAACCGCCCAACCAGAAACACGTTAAAAAATTACGCGGGGATAACAATCACCAATGTTACGGTTTGTAAGCAATGCTTCTTCAGCCTACAGCTGTGGTCACTTTTATGATTTTCCTCTTTGCCTTTCTACTGTCCGTTTGAAAAATGTTTGTTTCCAAACATTTACCCGACAATTACACATTCTTATCGCTCAATTAATCCCATACCTATTTAATTTTCTGAGAATCAGTATGCTTAGAAGATATTTTTTGACCACTGCTTGAAACTGGTGAGTTTTTCGCGCTTTTAGGTTGTAAGTAGTGGGAAAAATGGTTCCAGACGTTTCTCAAACACGAGTGGCTTGCATCTTCAGAGGTGATAAGGCCAAAAAACCGAAAAACTCAGCCTCCTAGCAAGATTTATGAATCGGAAAATTTGAGTTTGTTTTAATACTTTCCATCTGTTGGAGGTTTAATTAAATAAATAGGAAACATCTTAGTAGTCTGTGTTAGTTAGCAAATTGACTTTTAGATCCTTCTAAGAATCCGATCTAAGTCTGCTGAATGCTTATCAAGTTTCCTTAAATTGTTTGTTTTGCTTAAACGCTCCTGCCTCCTTATGACCGAATAATTCCGGAGTAAGTGGTATCTACTATCAAATTCAAATTTACACTAATAACATTCTAATTTATCTTTGTTTTTAAACAAACCGAAATTCAAAATGTTACGTCTAATTTTAATTAGTGTTTGTTACTTTAGAATCGCAATTTCGGATCCTTAGACTGGTTATGATTTGTGCTGCTTATGGTTTAGCAAAAAGTATCTAAGTATGGTGCGTCTTTACCAACGTAATCAGGGTTTTGAGTGTGGAATCTCTGAATAATTGACGAATACTAAACATTTTTTTATTTATAAACCCATAGAGGACTGTTTTTTACGAGCGAACCGTACTATAAGGGGTTGTTTAATGTGGCATTTCTGATCCACCCGGTACAATTCATGATTAACCAATGATATTAATTAACCCTTCCGAATAGATTGCCGAAATGAATCATTGCTTATAACCCATCAAATATTATTAGAACTCATTAGTTGCCATAGCGCATTTCGTACAGTAAACCGTCAGTGAGGTCGCTTAAAAAGGTAAGCCAAAAAAAGCAAACCCCCTCGTAAAAAGATTAGAGAGACAAACCGCGACTTGAGAAAAGAATTATTATTCTCCAGCCTATCATGCATGTCTCATCTTTATAGGTTTATTGCCCAAAATGTTTTTATAAAGGAGCATTTTTCTTTTCAACCCCCATGGGTGTATTTAACACTTCGACTTCGGGGGATTTTTTCTGTTCTGTAGGACTTTGCGGATGTTAACTTACTCTACGTGGATCGAATCGAGTTCAAAAAATCATCGAGGATATTTAGGTCTTAGTTAACACAGAAATTAGGTTTATGAGCTATGATTTAGGACAAACAAATTCCTCAAATAGTCATATACTAATCGTTTAATTATCGTTACGTGATTAAAGAGAAAGTGCTGTGGATTTTGCAGCAAATGGTGCGTCATTGTCCTGAGAAAAATATTTTTCGTATATCAGTTGACATAAAAAAACATTTTATTCGAGTCATCAACCTCTCTTGGTATGGAAGTAAATGAAATAACGCTTCATTTCAATAACTTTCTTTTCTGTTTGTCCGCAAAACAGTAACGACATGCCAAATACCATTAATATTCATCCCACTCATTCGTCAATATTTTTAAATCGCGGTCTAATTATGAAGCGCTTTTACAGTAAAAAACGGTTGTCACTATATCAAATTGTCATTTTCTGGTCAAAGGTCTGCAGTATTTTTACCAGTTAATTTTTGTGTCTACGTGATATATTACAGCGTCGAATCATTGGCGCTTTTGCTTTATGAACGGTATGCACATTTATCTAGGCTAATAGACAATTGGACTAATCACTACAAATTATACTGAAACTAAATTAATTAAACCGGTCAATTAAAGGGTGTAAATTTGTATGACTTTTTTCAGGACGTCTTCTATGTTGATCAGATTATCGTAATTCTAATAAATCGTTTTGATCCAACACATTCGTAATTTTACACCTCAAGAAATCGTACAATAGTAAGAAACCTTTCGAACTAGCATTAGTAACAGATTTAAAGTCTGAAGGAATTCATGTCAAACGTATAGTTTTCCTAAGGCTTCTCCAATAGAAATGTGTCCATTTAATCTCAAAATTGCCCTTTCACCTACAAATGTCCAGCACTTTTCAACGAAAACGCTGTTTCCTCAATTAACCACATAGATTGATTGTTGCAAGACAGATGGTTGAACGGAAAAAATCAGCTACAGAACGATTTTTTACGGTCTGCTTGGAATACACTAAATACACGGTAGAAAAAGTTTGCAAGGTCCGAACCTACAGACAAAAGAAAGGGATAGCACTCAACCTTGACTAATTCATAACCCCTTACGAAATCAAAATAAAACTGCTGGCGTGCTTACCACACGGAACGACTTAATAATTATTATTTAAAAAAATGCCTTTTGATCATTTTATAAAGTGAGCTAAAAATTCGTGGAAAAAAATCGGTTAGTGGGTATTTAGGACAAGTTAGAGCTGTTGTTGAATTCAATCGAATCGTCTTTTAAAGTGTTATTGAATGAATTAAAACACTAATAATAAAGCGCCTAGTGTTATTAAATCAAGATTCTGAATCAAATCAGAGAGTGGGGCAGAAAGACCGATTGGGTCGATAGCCTTTTTCTGTAGGAAATAAAGATTATTTATATATATATATATATCAGAGAGTGAAAAGCGCAAACTAAAAATTATGAATATTCGTTCTGCATCAAAAAGAACAAAGAAATTTAGAAGCGCAGATGTGCTATGATATGCCACTTGAAACATCAGTTAATTCAAGGTGAAGAACAAGAGATCTAAACGATAAGAAACAAAATAAAAAAACACGAAAAATTAAGATGAGAAGAACGTGGAAGATGTTAACGAGTGGAGGTTGCGAACGAATTGCGAATTGAACTCACGCATAAACGGCATGGATCAAGAAGGAATAGTGAACATTGTACGTGATAAATGGCCCGCAGGAAAATCACGGAACAGATGAAGCGCTCACTTTGTCTACATGAAAGAAACGAGAAGAATATGACTAATTGCACTAGCTAAAAAAAGCTAGTCCTTCACGGCTATTGCTTAAAACTGGCGAATGTTTCGGCTTTTTAGACGTTTCGCAAAGACGAGTGGCCTGCATCTTCAGAAGTAGTTGTTGCGTCGAGTTAACCACGTCTGAAGTTGCACACGACTTTTTCTTGATTTATTCCATTCCGTATATGCGTGAGTTGAATTCGCATCTTTCACTAATTTTTCATGGTTTTTCATTGTTTCATTTCCTATCGCTAAGACCTTTCAGTGTCTGTTGTACTTCAGCTTCAGCTAACCGATGCTTCAACTGCCATTTGGTCATGCCAAAAGTCCGGTTTTGAATTTCTTTGACCTTTTTGATGCTTAATGAATGTTCGTATTTTTTTGTTTGCGCTTTCACTGTCTACCTTCATTTAAAATGTTTATTAAATTAAATTAAATTAGCTGTTTAATTTATTGAATCAAAAAAATTAAAATCCCTAAAAGTTCTCAAGTAATAGCCGTTTCGCAAGCATGAATGACTTACATCCTCAGAGGTGTTTCACTAGCAAGTTTAAACGGTAAAATATTCGCAGTGTTTTAGACATCACCACGATTTTAAAACAATGTTTTGATATATTCCGCCTTCAATAATGTTTAATATTTGCATATGACTGATAGTTGATTTTAGCAAGAAGAATAAATCAACTATTTTCGTGTTTTAGCCTCTAATGGAAAGTCATTTGAATAATAAAGCTAATAGAATTAATGATCGTAAATAGTGAGATTATACGAAATAAGTGGTACATCCTATAGGTGTATGTAAACGTTCGTGTTCAGCGAGATGGAGACTATGATAATGCAAGAAAATTATAATTTGTTCTAACATCGAGTCTTGCCTTAAACCGCGTCCCATATTGCTCTAATAGGATATGATTTCCAAGTATAAATTTCTTTAATGCTCTAAGAACCTAATTAAGTTGATAAAAATGCTAAATTACACAGCAATCTCGCTGTATGTATCTCCGAGCAAGCACTACTCCTCACTCCTATAATCGAATGGATTTATAATTATATACATTATTTAAATCGGGTAAAAATATGTTTTCAATGCATGTTGGAGCGATTTACGCCTTACTTGAAGGATTTCTTCCCGACGTTATACTGCCAAAACAGGCAAACGTTAATTATCGGTATTTTAGCAATAGTGACCAATCTCCAAGCAATTTGTTGTCTTATTAGGCACCATCACATCAAACTATTTTGTCAGGAGTAGGTAATGATCATTTTAATGTAAGGCGATTTGTCATTTTACCATTTGACCTAGAAACTGCCTATGCAAATTGATGGATCTCCATGATGAGCGACATACTAAACCGACATACTTCCATAAGAAGCTAATTAATAAAAACCATTTTCGAAAGTTCCTCAATTACCAACGCGGTTAAAGAGAAGTGAATGAGAATGAACATGTACATTGTGAACTAATTCGGAATCATTATTTATTTATTACTGCAGGGAATGGTTGCTTTTTAATAACAATTTCGATTATTTTTAAATTATCCACCCAATAGAGCTGAGTTCTTCTCTTTTCACTTGTTGCAGATTTGCTTCCAGAATTACTCCGTTTTGTTACAATTTTCCTCAGGGATTTACTTGTTTTTTCTTGCCTGTTCTTTTGTGCAGAAACACACGTTTCCAGTTTCAAGCTTTCATAAAAATTTAGAAAAAACTTATATGTTGAAAAAGACATGTCAGCTGCGCGCTCTCGTTGCCCAAACAAACTCCCAATGTGTAATAGAGTACGTTCAAAGGAAAGCAGAGCAAAATCTCTTTGCTACTTCATACCATCTCTAGCCGAAAATTGGAGAAAGGCAAAACATGAGAATAATCAGTCGATAAATAAAAATATTTATTTATCTCTTTGTTTCCATATCAATAAATAAAAGCCACGGAAAACTAATTATTTTTTTTAGATAGAGGTTATAAATATTATTTATAATAATAATTTGAATAATTAGTCGGCTCAATTTGCCGATATTTTCAACGGTAAATTTGCGAACGGAAATTTAAAAAATTACCCCGGAAACTTAATTTAATGACCTGGAAGAAGAAACCCGCTGAATTTTGTCATGTTATATTAAGCTTTTTAAATAAAATGATTTTCGATAAAATAAATATGAACTAATCCGGCAGTAAACTACACAAAAACTGAATTTCTGGTTTTCAGTTGCAGACCTATTTTTCTAGAACAAAGTTCCAGTCAAAAATTGCAATTCTTGCGCGGATTTTATCGGATATTTCCCGATTTAATTAAAAATATTACGTAAAAAATTTGGAAATTACCACCGCAACACGGACCATATTTTCTGAGGAAGTTATGAATGAGCGGTTGGTAAAAATACCTAGTCCTATAAGTTGAAAGCTTTCAATTTGGATTCATTGTTGATTTATTAATGCCGGAAATATAGCGTTTTTAACAACGGCGACAATTAAGGCTTTTTTAGATTTCCTCCCGAGATTTTTTCATATCTCGATTTTTAATATGCTCAATGTGCAATAGGGTTTGAATGGCAAACGTAATTTTCGAAGAAATTCTAGGAAACAATTTTTGGTTTTTGCCTTTTGTTTGGCTGGAAATACGAGATTTGAAGATTGAAATTCAGTTTCCTTAATTGAAAAATAAGTCAGTTTTTTTTAAATTATGGGGACTGTTTATTGCATAATTTTGGACACTCTGTAAATGTGGCAGTGTTGATGATTAAAGGTTAAATGGTCGCATTACGTAAACTGGCGCTGAGATTAGCAGCGAAAGGGTCAGAACGTCCCGTGGGTCAAAAATTGTGTGCATAACTCCACATAACCGCTTAGATCGAATTACTTGATCTCTGCCCTAACTGATGACTTTTCTATAGTAATTTGTAACGGACCTACCGCAATTTAACTCTCAATTTCAACAATTGTTGGCTATTTTTAGGTCCCTAGAGGGACTTGGAAAGAATTGATATGGTCGCGTGAGATTGAAAATGGTGATAAGGTGGCGATTACAACTGATAGGGGAGGTGATGAGGTAATAGACTACGCAGTTGATGTGGGAAGATTTAGTTGAGTTAGTGAGGAAGATGATCTTAACGTACCTTCGCACGTAAATTGTCCGTAGTGCTTGCCAGAGCTTTTGTCTCCACACACGACGCACTCAATATTTTGATTTTTGTCAGTGCTACCGGTACTATTTTGCGACGGTGTTTGGCGGCTCAGAAGAGCCAGATCTGAGTTTTGAGCCTCGGAAAGAGGGCCGACAGCTTGAACAGAATTTGATGGCTGGACGGCAGCGACCGGTGGAAGAGGATTCAAGGAATTGAGTCCTCCAGTTGGGAGCACGGGATTCACCAGCGGAGACTCGCGCCACGAGTTGGCCACCAAGGATGCCATGGGCACTAGAGCACCATCACGGGCACCTGGACGCGTCACCACTTAGCCGAATGGGCTTTTCGCACTTTCAAAATTGCTCTCGTGTTCGCGCTCTGCGTTGAGGTGATAGGTCGACCCCGAGACAATCTCTAGCCTCTACTGGTGACCTTTTGCTCGGCCCGACACCAACTTGGCCTGGGCGGGCCTGGGAGGTCCTTAGTTCGAGCCGGGTCACTATAGGCCAAGGGGCGTTACCTCACGCTGGTGGGAGCCCAGGCAACGCGTTCTAGCACGGCGCGATTCCTTTTGCGGATCCAGCTACGGACTGGCTCAACTACTTGTTTCGACTCGAACCATTCAAACCTACAAGACTTTTTCCATTGGGCCTCATTCGCCGAAAATGACAAGCTATGTTGCCAAATTTCCGACAAAGTAGTTAGAATTATCATAAAAGATACAATTTCCTGTCTGAATCGAAAACTGTCTGTCAACTGTCTGAAAGGGGCTCGCTCTTGAGTGGTTACGCTCATATTTAAATAAGACAACCCAAAGGGTGATTATACACCAGGACGGGATGTCCTACAATTCAAAAATTTTGCAAAGCACAGTAGGTGTGCCACAGGGGAGTATGCTCGGACCTATTTTGTTTATAGTCTTTATGAATGACATTAACAGCGAATTGTCTTGCCCCAAATTTTCTGCTAACGGAGTATGCAGACGACACAAACCTGCTAGTAGGAGGAAAAACAATCCCTAAACTCGTGGGAAATGCCACTACTTTGTTTACATCCTAAGAAAGATGGCTTGGAAAAAATATGTTATGCTTAAATAAAGAAAAAAACAAACACATTAATGTTTAGAACCAAATCAAATAAAAACCAGAAACCACTCACCATTGTTGTTGAAGTAGTAGCAGCACACAGTTTTTGGGTATTTACATTGATGAATTTTTAGACTGGTCTTGCCATATTGATTACCTTAGTAAGAAACTAAATAAAATCTGTTTTTGTATCCGAAATGTTTCAAGATACCTGAATGAAACGGCACGCAAGGCAGGGAATAATTTTTTGGGCGAGTAGCTGGAGGACTCGAAATATATTTAGAGTACGAAAACGTATACTAAGGACTATCTACGGAATGTCTCTTTTGCAGTCTTTTCAAGGGGTTTTTAAATCAAAGGGTGTTTCTACCGTATACGGTCTGTACATTTTTGAGGCAATATTATATGTTTTTAAGAGTATACGTTTAAACGATAACAACGTTAACCAGAATCATAGCACCCGCACGGAAAACATTTTGTATCCAACACACAGACTAACACTGTCTGAAAAGAGTCCGTACTATATGGGTATAAAATTCTTCAATAAACTAGAAAACAACATTAAAAAAGTAAGAATTGAAAAATTGTAAGGGATAATCTCATTTACCCATAAGAACAAAAATACTCAAACATATGTAAAACATAACCACAACACAAGACAAATATCTAACAACTTTCTTGCTCTACCTGATCAAAATAATCGAACAATTCATCTTAAATTTCTTCATTATGTAGCCCCAAAATTGTATAATTTATTGCCAAGTATAATAAAATCAAATAACTTCAATTTCTTAATAAAAAATCCAGAGAATATATTACTATACACAGGAACACATTTGTTCCGATAGTTTGTCAAAAATTGAGTTCTCGGGAAAATGTTTTAAGTTGCTAGTTTTAGGTAAGAATATACATGTATGGTATGCTATGTGGATTACTGTTAAACCAGGACAGAAAATAAAAATATGATTACTGATATATAAAAAAAAATTGTAACCTGAAGAGTACATACAGGTACAAGGTATCTAGGTACTCAACAAATATTTTTTACATTATATGAATTGTAAATTCACAAAAAATTTTCTGTTTACATATATATTTTTAATAAATTTTGAATTTGACAAATTAAAACAGATGTTAATTGAGTTAGAGCCTTATAGTATTAGAGACTATTTAAATATGTAACAACAGTGCCTTTTAGTATAATATGTCCTTTGTCAAGTGTTTTTTAACGCCATTTCATTTTGTATTCTTTATACATGTGCATGTATCAATCGAGTGTAACTTAAAATAAAGAAATAATTAAAAAAAAAAATTCCAGGTGAATTAGGGACCTGAGCTTTTAGGGCACGAGCCTTAAGTTTCTCTTCCCTGTTTCTCGGATTTTTACCTCTCTGTGCGAGTTTGGTTTCTATTTTGTTATTGAATTTTTATTAGTTTCTGTTTGTCTAGACGAGCATGGCCGGAATTTGCCAATGTAAAAGTGAAGACATTAAGAGTGTAGGGTGCAGGAATTGAACTGCACTGAGACTTGCTTAGTTGGAAATTGAAATTGCTTAGGTATTACAAGTTGGGTTTTAGAGAACCAAAATTGAGAACTAGAAAAAAGAAAATAAAAAGTACTTAAGTATTTATATTATTAAGTTTAATTAAATGTTATTAAGAATTATTTTAGTTCTCAAATATGCTATTCTGTCAACAATATTTCGTTCCTCGGTATTTCTTAAACAGAAAATATGTACTAGTCGATATCTCTGACGTTTTTCGAGATATTTCACAGTGAAACATTTTTTGTACTAACTCAAATTGGATCCCCAATATTGTCGTAAATTAACATTCTTAAAGCGGGACTTGAAAATATGTTTTACTGTCAGTTAAATATTAGAACAATTATTTTTACTTCTGTTAGATTAAACCATTTTTTGAAGTAGGTACCAACCATTTTCGATGGGATTATCTGGTCTAATTTCAGCAATGTAGCGTCGAAAATTCAATTTTAACGCGTCAGTTGCTCAAGGTTTCTTCTCATAGACCAACGACTTCAAATGTTCCATAAAAAAATCTAGTGCGGTCAAATTACTTATTGAAGGCAAATTAACAATTTTATTTCTGGAGATTATTGCTGTGATTGCGACATTAGCAAAATGTAGTGTGGCCGCATGCTGGTGAAACCACAAATTTTCTAAATCATTTTCTTTCAATTGTGGCCATAAAAATTCTGTTAATAACGATTAAAAGCACTCCGCAACAGCAAATTTTTCCGGATGCAACAAAATTCTCATGTGGATGCTTTCGACAAAAACAACAGTTTTGTTCTTTCATAAAAGCATCTAACCAAACATGTAGTTTATCCGAAAATGCGTTTTTTTGTAAAAACAGGGTCGTTTTTACGTTGCTCTATAGATCTTCAGCGCATAATACGACAAGTTGTGGTGTGTGAATGATGAAAAATTTGCAACTTCAACATCAATTTATCAACGATTCGACCAATAGCATGCACAAAAGAACCATTATGAGTTTGAATAAGAAAACGAGTATGTTAAGCGTGTTTCCTCATGATGAAATGGCATAATTGGGTTTGTTTGCGTCAGTTCAAGTTTGTTTAACTGTTTTTTTGTTAATTTGGGATTGTTTCGTATGAAATGAAAGAATTTCCTATTTAATCACACTCAGTTTTCATTAGCTGCAATTAAATTGATTCAACAATTTCAAAACTAGCAGTTTGTAAGAAAAAGACGGACCTTAAACTAAAACGAACCTGTGCCGAACCATTAAAATTGATTTCGATTTAATACCGTAAGTGAAGCAATTTGATTGAGAAATAAAAAGATTTTAAAATTCACCAATAAAGTGTAATCACGCCAAAAATATATCAAAAAGGAAATTGAGAAACTTTTAAAATAGTTCATTACATAATACGTCAATAATAACGGTAAACCTTTAAAATGTATTCTTGCGATCGTAAACACCTAATTTAAAAAATACGTAAATTTCAATGCATAGAAATACCGAAATTCATTTTAAATATTAAACGAAATTTGTGTTATTATATTTACAGATAAAAACAAATTATTATTATACTGTCTTTCATTCCACTTTCATAAAAATATTAGGTTTTTCTAAAAAACTTAAGGAATTTTTTTCCCTAGAGAAAAGAGTATAAATTTTGCAAGCCCAAGCCTTATGCCTAGTTGATATTTTCCAAACTGTCGAAATTGAGGAAAGATCCAGAAGTGCAGAGTTATTTTTTTGCAAACTGCTGAGTGAAAGCTTTCAATCAATTACTGGGAAATTTTGGTGTGATCAATTGTCTCCAACTTTCTGTTCAATAATTTGGGTAAAGTAAAAGGAAAATGATCGAAATCCGGTCCTGTTGAGCTTACGGACTCAGACCCCTAAACAGACAAATCGAGTGTGAAGAACTGCTAACCGTACTGGCTGATTCGTCGACACGTGCTTAGAGGCTCATTGCTATGCTCTCGTCGAAACGTCAACATCAGTCCTCGTAGTTTTTCGATTTCGGAATTGCTTCGTTTCTTGGTTGCAGCCTCAGAATACTTGATCTTGAGTGTATTTTTATGCAGCTGAATGGATTTGGTGCTTGAGTGACAGTTTTCCGCTTCATATTCACATTGGTTATCACTTTGCGGTTTTTCGCTCATTTTTTCACCTTCCTGGATGCGTTTAGTGATCAGGTGCGGTACTTAGTGGGTGTGGTAGAATTTTCGATTTATGTAAATCATTGTCAGTGTACTAAATCCGAAAATCTGCTTACTTTCGCTGTATGTAACACTGAAAACTACCAGTAGACTACTGTTGTTTAAGTTTGTCATGTTTCATCGTTTATGAATGCAAAAATTCAGCAACTAATTTTATTGATTAAAGAGCCATATAAATCTTAGAAGAAGAAGATCTATTTTGTGAAATATCATTAAAAGTTGCACCCAGAAAACCACAACAATTTATCTAGCTATAGAAAAGTATAGAAATGGTAAAAAATATGATTTCAATTCAGCAAAGGCTCAAACTCCGAATTTACATTGAACATAAGAAAACAGTAGGCCCAGTAGTTTGCCCCTGGTAATACACATACTCATATTACATTTCAACTGATTATTTGAATAAATAAAGGCTATTTTCTACTTTAGGGTCAATTCCTTGACCTCCACTCATGACGGCACCAAATCCATACGTCGCTTAGAATAAGCGAAAACAAACGTTTCAAAACATCTGCCCGGCGAAAACAAAGTGTTCAGGACAGGTTAAAGAACCACCACACATAAACACCAAAAGGGTGTCAGGTTTTCGCTTTACGACCCCTAGAATGTACAAGCCTGTTTCCAGATAAGATACTTGGCTACCTATAACGGATTTATTTTTTTGGCTTGTGGGTCATTAACATAGGTAGTAGTAGGTATTGAAATTCTGTATTGATTTATTGCTAGAAATGGATTAGGGTCTATTTTGAAACTTATCTAAAGATTATCAACGCTCCCAATTTTTGAGAAATTTCAGAGTTCAACGGAATTG